CCGACCGCTAGAAGAGCTCAGCAACCATATTGAGACATCCATGTTGGAAGCAACGACAAAAAGCATTGCGGAGCCGGCGCAGCTGAGACCGCACCTCTCGACCAACGTGCACCTCCAAGCGCTGATCCAGCAGAGGCGCAACATCCCGAATGTCAATACACAGTCCCGACGCCACGTCAGCAAGCAAATCCGACAAGAGATACGACGGCAAAAACGAGCAACACGGCGTACGCAGATCAGCACCATACTCGAGGACTACCGTGGACTCAAGCGCATTACGACCATTGAATCAGGGCGGAAGCGTACACTAATCACGGAAATGCGCGGCAAGGACGACACGAAGCATACCAGCAGAGACTCAATTGCGAACGTCTCTGCAGATTTCTACGAGCAGTTGTATCACTCCACTCGACAATCTTCACCACCTGAGCCTTCTGACGACACGGTGCCGCCTTTTACAATCCACGAGCTCAACAGGGGACTGTCCAACCTCAAGCGGGGAAAAGCACCCGACACGATCGGAATCAGAGCCGAAATGCTGAAGCATGCCCCCATAGAACTCAAACGGGCCGTACTCCAATTATACAACACTGTCATACAAGCCGACGCGCCTACTCCGCAGAGTTGGCGACAAACAGTCATCACAGTAATCCCGAATGCAGGTGACCCCATGCGACCTCAGAACCACAGGCCAATCTGCACCATTCCCCTGCTCTACAAACTTTTCAGCAAGCTTCTATACAATAGATTGCAGCCGCCCCTGGACAAACAACAGCCCCCAGACCAAGCAGGATTCCGCCCGGGACGTTCGACGCAAGATCACCTCTTTACTTTCCACATGCTTCGGGAGACAGCTCGGGAATGGATCCAACCACTTTGGATAGAAACGCTGGACTTCAAGAAGGCTTTCGACACAGTCGAGCACGAGAGCCTCTGGACCGCACTCAAGAGCCAAGGTGTCGCACCAAGCTGCATACACCTACTCCGGAAGATGCATTCTGGCCAAGCAGCCACGGTGCGGACAGACACGACCAGCCGCCCATTCAACCTGCAGAGGGGCACAAAGCAGGGCGATCCCCTTAGTTCACTACTTTTCAATTCGCTTCTTGAACACATCATGCGTCCACTTGTTAACACATGGAAAAAGCGCAACCACGGCATCCAACTCGGCTTGACTAAAGACTGCTCTCTTACCAACCTGCGCTTTGCCGACGACGTCCTTCTGACGAGTTGTACCTTACCGCGCTTGACGACAATGCTTGAACACATGGCCACAGCTGCACAACAACACGGCCTCTACATCCACCCGGGCAAAACGAAGACCCTGACGAATTTGACTGAGAGGACTGGGAGAGCACGGCAGCACAAGGTGAGCATCAACAGCATGGAGATCGAGATGTTACCTCGCAGTGGGTCAGTCAAGTACTTGGGACAGCAGATCAGCTTCCAAGACGCCATGCACGCCGAGGTGCAACACTGGATCAAGGCAGGCTGGGCAGCCTTCACTGCTCGCAAAGAGGAACTCACAGCGAAGCACTACCCCTTGAAGCATCGACTCCGGCTTTTCGAAGGCACTGCCACACCGACGGTACTATACGGGGCGGCCAGTTTGACTCTGACCGAGCCTTTACGACAACAGTTACGATGCACCCAACGACGCATGTTACAAATGATTGTCGGCCCCCCACGACGACGCAACACCGCCAACACGAAAACGACATCCAGTGCGACCAACCAACGCACGACTCAAGCGACGACAGAACCGCAAACCCACGAAAACAACACGCACGGAGAAACAAAACGCAACCGACCGTCATCTACCCACCCAAGCGCAGATACCAGCACGGCTAACATCCCCAGCACCGACAACGAGGAGAACGTCGCACCGGAGAGCATTGTCTTGGAGTCGTGGGTCGAATACATCAAGCGCACGACAAGACAAGCAGAAAGCCTCATGCACAAGCACAGTGTGATCGATTGGAATACGAGGCAACGGCGATTGGTGTGGAGATGTGCCGCGAGAGTGGCGAAGTAGTCCCCTCGAGAATGGTCTCAATGCGTGGTCAACTGGCACCCGAGCCTCCATGCCTCTCAATAAGGCAACAGGAATACGGGAGGACAGCAGAAGCGATGGGATGATGACGTGCGTGATTTTCTCGTATCCCATGGCGCGCAAGAGAGACCCGCCCGGAGCAGCTACGACGTGAACAACATCGATTGGCTTAAACTGGCGACCGACGATTCAATTTGGACTAAACTGGAGGCGCAATTCGTCACGTGTTCCACTCCTGATACTTCTGTGGCGCCGGCCGCCTGAGTAAGCGTCCAGCTAGCCGGCCATGCGTGCGAGGCCACGGCCTCGCCCGCTCCGCCCTTAAGGGGCCCAAGCGATTGCCCGCGCGAGCGTTCCATTCCCATTCCCATTCCCCTGGCAAAATTATTCCGAGGGGTCCAGAGAACCCCCCCCAGGCAATGACGACGACGACGCGACGACGACGTTGCCGCCGCCGCCAGCAAACGACGTGGACGACGATGACGACGACGCCGACGACGACGGCGACAACGTCAGCAGCGACGGCGACTGACCTGTCGCCGGCACCCGCGCCAGACGCCGGTGCTTATATGATGCTTACAGGGTGCGGTCCAGTTATGGTAGAGATCGTTCTGCGTCTATTAGAAACCTACATAGGGTGGATCTAGCTCTAATATGTATACTTCTTATAGGGCTGGGTCCAGCTCTCAACGAATCTTACTCGGGCTCGATCCAGCCCTGATGGAATCCGAGTAGGGCTCGGTGGTTTGGGTACAGACGTGTTGGGGTCTAGGAATTGATCCAGCTCTAGCAGCATCCAAGTACGCTTGACTCCAATTCAAAAAGAATCTCACCAAGGGTTGATCCAGTTCTATTAGACTCTTTCGAGGGCTCCATCCAGTTTTATTAACATCTCTTTTGAGCTCGACCCAGCTCTCCCACAATCTTACTAGGATCGGCCCAACGCTGACGCAATATTGGTGAAGCTCGACCCAGCTGTCCAGCTGGAGTCGAATCATAGCACGGGTGGGTGCATGTCCAGTAGAATGCTACCAGGGCTAGATCCAGGTTTGATGGGACCTCATGAAAGCCCGATCTAATATCAACGCCACGTATTTATAGAGGTGGATGCGCCTCTAATAGAATCCGATTTGGGGTTCGATCCATATTTAAAGAACCGTGTGAGATGTCGATCCAGCTGTGATAGAACCCTGTAAGGGCTCGATCCAGCCCTCCCAGGAATTTTCTGCGGCTCGATTCAGATCTAACCGCATTCCACTGGGGCGTGATATCGTCGTCGTCGGCGTCGTCGTAGCCGTCGTCGCCGTATTCGTTTTCGTCGTCGTCGTTGTCGTCGTCGTTGTCGTTGTTGTCGTCGGCGTCGGCGTCGTCCTTGGCACCGGCGTCGTCGTCGTTTGCTGGCGGCGACGACGTCGTCGTCGTCGTTTTCGTCGTCGTCCTCGTCGTCGTCGTCATCGTTGTCGTCGTCGTCGTCGTCGATGTTGCCGGTGGGGATGGATCCTTGACCCCTCGAGTAACTTTTTGGGGGGGAGGGGGGCGCGGGGTCCGGATCCCTCCAGATAATTTTCCAGGGGCGGGGGGGTGGGGTTTGGATCCCTCTGAATAATGTTCCTCGGCGTGGGTGGGTGTCCAGAACCGCCCCTCCCCACTCTGGCTTTTGGCGGGGGGGGTTGGACCACCCCCTTGCCAGCAGAGGCAGATATCGCTTTTTCGGAGATTCGCATCGAGCATTTTTCATAGTGTGGACTCCGCGGGGTCTCGATCTCGTCCCCAAACATGGTCGGGCTTTCATCCCGAGCCGTTTTTTTGACCTCCCGTCGGGCAGGAGACGACTTCCTCATGCCGGAAACGCCAAACAGTTTGATGTTTCTCCCCCCTCCACCCTCGATCTGCGGGGAGGGCGTTGGCAGAGGGGAGCTAACTGTTCCCAGAGCGGCGCGTGTTGCCCGCTGTGCCCCTGGCCCAAATTGTCCCTAGGTTTTCCAGGGAATACCACATGGTTTCCAGAGAGCCCCCCCCGCGAGGCTCAGAGGGCCAGACGGGCTCCAAAACGGCGCGAAACGCTGGGGACATTTTGGGCCATGGACGCGGCTACGCCTGCCTAGGATCACTCGCGCGCAACCGAAGAGGACCAAGAGGAGGACCTCTCTCCGCTGTTGCCTCTGCACTCCAGAAGTGCGACGCCATCTCGGCCCGCAGCTCCCCCCACCTCCCCTGGCGCACCAGTGGTCACTCGCGCCTACTCCCAGGGACCCGATGTCTTGATTTTTCAATACGGGGTCCGCAAAAGCCCCAGCACCGTTCACCAGGGGCGTCTTTGACGGTCACGGGGCCCGGCCAGAGCCCGGAAGGCCGCAAACGGATATGATAAACCGCCTCCGCCGATATGAGTTTTCAATCCACTGCCCCAAACGTCCCGATCGCTGTCCCGGGCGGGACCAGTGTTTCGCCACAGCGGGTCCCCGTGGCCCACATCGGAGAAAACCCGCCGACGGGAAAAACAATACCGTCGGAGAGTTGGGAAGGCCACTTCTGCTTGCCCGCGCGTGCGTCCTCCTCTCCTCTCTTGCTCTTCCTCCTTGGCGCCAGCGGCACCGTGCCGCGCTGGAGCGGGGCCTGAAGGGAGTCCAAACCTGGTACGATGCATTCAGTAGCAACTCATGGGTGGCTCCCATGGGTTGCCACAGACAGACAGGCGCATAGGCGCCGTTCTCGTACAGTCGGGGCCCTGGAGAAGGAACCCTTCTCGTTGGGGAGGGGCTCGGTGTTCCTTGATTATTTCACAGCCTGCCTTAGGTTTTTCCTTAGGTTTTCGATATGGGATCGAAGCTTAGTTAATGGAAAATAGGCGCCTCGTTCCTTATTTAGGGTTCCTTAGGTCAGCGCCCCGACTGTACTCCAGCGAAGCGCTGTTAAGGGAAACGCTCGTGCGTGCAGCTGCAGAGAGGAGGCCCCCCCCGCCGCCCGCGGGCGCGGGCGCCCCGCCGCAGCACCGGCAGCCGCGGCCCACGCCCGGAGCCAGGCGTCGGCCGCCCGGTCGGCAGGCACAAGCGCACTGGCAGCGGCCCCACGGCGACGACGCCGACGACGCCGACGACGGCCAGGGATTGGGAGCGAGGGCGAGACGACGACGACGACGACGACGACGACGACGACGACGACGACGACGACCACCACCAGGCAGCGCCTGCAGCGGCCCCCGCAGCGCCGCGGGCGGCAAGCGCCGCGCCGGCGCGGCGAGCGGTGCGGCGAGCGGCGCGGCGAGCGGTGAGGGCGGCCCGGGAGCGGCGCCGGCGGGCGCCGGCAGGGTGATCAAGCTGCGCCGCCGGGGCAGCATGACAGGTTCGGAGGGGTCCGCAGGCTTGCGGGGCTCGGGGTGCTGATTCCCGCCTCGTCTCGTCGTGGAAAATTGCGAAGAAGAAGGGTACGAAGAAGAAGAAGAAGAAGAAGAAGAAGAATATCAATATTGATCATCGTATTCGTAGTATCAAGAATAAAAAGAAGGAAAAGAGGAAAGATAGGGACGCTGTGCGTCCAGCAGGCACGAGTGAGCAAAAACATGACGTGACAAATTTTAGTCGATTTGGGGTTCCAGGGCTTTCACTGGGTCTTGGGACCGTCAACAAATTACCCAGGATGAAACCGTCGGAGTTCTGGGGATCGGGTTGGACGAAACGGGATGATTGGGAAGGGCCGGGGGGGTAATTCCGAAAGCTGCTGCACGCAGCTGGTGTCGGCCCCGCCAAAGGCACGGCATACCCATGGCGCCCCCGGAGGCCGTCCAGGAAGCTAGCCACGTGAGCTGATTCGGTGACTCTCCCTTGCTACCCCTCCTTCGCAAAGGGGCAAGAGGTCATGATTCCGACACGCTCCAAACATTCCAGGATTTCCTAGATTTCCACATGTCACATGCCAGGTCGCAGAAACGAGCGCCGCTAGATACTCTAGAAATCCTCGAATCGATTCTGAGCCAATGCTACAGTCCGCGCGCCACATAAGACATCGGCCTGTCAGGAGGTGTCCCACGGTGATTCCTTATCACCCGATGGCCCTAGGGATCCACTGAAGTTCGCCGACACCTGAGAACCCTCGAAGATCGACGCCGAGTGCGCCCCAAGATTCGAGTAGGGGATCGACTACAGAATCGATTTACCCCAAAATTGATTCCCCGCCGAATCTAGCAAACATACGAGGAGTGCTCCGTAAATATACGGACTGTTCGTATTTTCCTCACGGGTTCGACGAGAAAATCAATTTTGGGCTAAATCGATTCTGTAGTCGATCCCCTACTCGAGAGACTTCTCATGCCCACTGCATCACGGCATCGTTGCTTCTCTGCTTCTGCCCGAGCTGCGCGCGGGCGGTCGGGCGTTTGCCCACCGCGGGCCCAGGGCGGGCGGCCGGGGCCCGCTGCAGCGGGGGCCTTTTTTTCCTGTGCGCGCCCGCCGCCCAGGGGGCAGCGATGCTCCCGGGCCCGGGGGGGCGGCAGATGCGGATCTAACTGTTCGGGCCAGGGCCACATGTACACATTATTCATATCTAATTCTTCGAAAAGTCTTTGACTTTTTTGGGGGGGGGCCAAGATCCGTTCATTTCTAATCGTTCTATCCTGGGCCTCTTCCTGGCCACTAGGGGCCCAGGAACAATTAGAAACGAGCACAATTAGAAATGAGCACGGTTAGAATTGAACGACGTGTAAGTATTCGGGCCAGGGCCCATCATATATGTATGTATGTATGTAGGTGTATCTGTTTACACACATACATACACCTATCTATACAGGTGTGTATATATTTACATGTGGATACGTATATAAATTTCTATATGTATACACATATAAACACACAAGTACACATACGTACTATGAACAAGTACCCCTCCTCCATGGGCACCGCCCACCTCCGGAAATTCTGGGGCCAATGCCAGGCACCGTCCTCCCGGGCCTCCCAGGGATCCCCAGGAGAGCCTCCGGACGGCTCAGGACACCTCTGAGGCGGCCCTCGACAGCCACACGACGGCCACGAGAGCCCCGCGAGCGCCCAAGCGAGTGCCAAGAGGCCTCCAAGAGGCCCCCAACACCGCCCAAGAGAGGCCTAAGGAAACCTTCGGGGGCCCAAATCATAGAAACACCTTTTTGGAAAACTGCATATTCCTGAGTTCTCGCATTTTCGCCTCCGATGCGCTTCCGAGGCTTGCGCATCACCCCCAGGAGAACCCCAAGGTGGCCCCAAGAGGCGCCCCAAGCGGCCTCAAGAGGCGCCAAGTGGCCGACGCGGTCCCAAAGAGGTTCCCAAGACGCTCCGAAAAGCTCCCAGGACGCGCCCAAGCGGCTCCCAAGAGGCTCCCGAAAGCTCCAAGAGCGCCCAAGAGGCCTCCAAGAGGCCCCCAGGAGCGTCGAAGAGCCCCCCCAGCGGCCCCCAAGAGGCCGACAGTGGCCAAAAGAGGTCCCAAGAGGCTCCACGAAGGCGCTCAAGACGCCCCCAAGATGCCCCCAGGAGACTTCCACGAGACATCCCCAAAAGCGGCGAGCTCGGAGCAGGCGGCTCCTCTCTCGTCCCCCCTCCTTCCTCCCTGATTCTTCTTTCCTCCTCCCTCTTCCCCGATGCATCCACTGCTGTCCGTTCCCACTGATCTCTCTCCCGCTTCCCGTTTCACCTCATTATCCTTCTTCTCCCCCTGTAGGTTTTGAAGACGCCTCGAGAGGTCAACATCGCTGACAAACCCTCGGGCGAATATATGATGTTTGCGTTCTCGCATATTCGCCTCCGATGCGCTTCCGAGGCTTGCTCATGATCCCCACGAGAGCTCCAAGCTCCAAGGTGGCCCCAATAGGCGCCCCAAGGTGGCCCCAAGAGACCCCGAGACGCCACCAGGACGCTCGAAGAGGCACCCACGAGGCTCCAACGAGGCTCCCAAGAGGCAGAGGGGCTCCCAAGAGGCTCCGAAAAGCTCCCGGGAGCCGCCCAAGAGGCCCCGACGGGCTTCCAGAAGCCCAAGAGGCGCCCAAGAGGCCCCCAAGAAGCCCCCGAGCCCCCAAGGCCCCCCCGAGAGCCCCCAAGAGGCCCCTACCCGCAAGGCCTCTCACGAGGCGCCCGCCACGGGCCCCAGGAAGGTTTGAAGACACCCCAGAGCCGCCCGCGGGAGACTGTCGCGAGGCACCCTCTCTCCTCCTCCCTCCCTCCTCCCTTCGCTCCCCCCTTTCTCCTGGCCCCTCCCTCCCTCTCTCCTGACTGGTCCCTCCCTCCCCCTTCCTCTCCATCCCTCTCTCCATCCCTCTCTCCTCCCGTCTCTCGCCTCCTCCTTGGCCCCTCCCTCCTCCCTTTGTTTCCAGCTGGTTGTGTCCCTTGTCTCTCTCTTTTCCCTGCGCCTGGGAGGCAACATGCCGCCCCTCCCTGGGCCCGGCAAGATGAAGTGCCAAGTGATCGCATGGTGCCTGCACGATGTTGCCGCAGAGTGTACACGCTGTTCTCCAATCAGTGCTTGCACTGAAGGGGTCCTAACGGATATTGAAAGGTATGGCGCAAGTTTCCCGCCGATTTTGGTGGCCGGCTGGGTTCCCGAGTTCCCGGTTCCGGGTTCCCGTGTTCCTGGTTATTGGTTCGGTTTCAGTGGGTTCCGGGTTCCCGGGTTCCCGGGTTATCGGTCGATCTCCTTACCGATCTTTTTATCGATCCCATGTCAATCCATCCACTGATTGGGGTTGCTCTCTAGTGTAGTTCATGTCTAATTCTTCGAAAAGTCTTTGATTTTTTGGGGGGGCCAGGATCCTGCCATTTCTGATTGCTCTATCCTGGGCCTCCTCCTGGCCAGTAGGGGGCCAGGAACAATCAGAAACGAGCACAATTAGAGCTGAGCACGATTAGACATGAACGACGTATAGTTTCTGGTGTCTCATGGCCAAGATGGTGAGGGGGGGTTGTCGTGGTTCCAGGTTCGCCCCCAGTCAAGTGGGCGAGGGGCGCGTATCCATAAGGAACAGTGATGAACCCCTCCGCAATGGGGAAGAGGAAAGGTGGAAGATCAACCGCTCTAAACCGTCTCCGTCCTACAGGGCTGCCAGGACTTGTGCCTCGAGGCACGGTGGCGGATACGTGCGTGCAAGCGATGGTTTGGTGTTCAAACTACGGCTTCGAGGAGAGGAGAAGATGAGAAGAGGACGGAGGAGAGGGGATGGGGTCGCGGCGGAGGGGAGGCATAATGGAGGAGGGAGGATACATGAGGAGAGGATGGAGGAGAGGCGAAAAGATGGAGGAGAGAGACGGGGTCGCGCTGAGGAGGGCTCGATGAGGAGAGGAGGGAGGGGAGGCAAGCGGGAGAGAGGAGGGATGAGGGATTATTAGGATTACCGACTTCATAAGAACGAGATTCAACTAACAGCGCTCAAGCTCGTCGGGTCTTGGAAGAGGAGGGGGGAAGAGAAGGAGTACGAGTGGGAGGAGTAGGACGAGGAGGAGGAGGGGGTTGCAGAGCATAAGAGAAAACATGCGCGCCAGTGAATCCCGAAGGAGCTGCAGCCCCTCCGCGAGCAAACCGCCTCGCTCCAGGAGGAACACCTCGCGCTGAGCACGCGCCTGACCGCCTCGCTGGAGGAGGACCGGATGCGCGCTCCTCCTCTCGCTTCTCCTCGCCCTCCTCCGCCTCGCCCTCCTCCTCATCCTCCTCCTCTTCCTCCTCTTCCCCTAGCCCTCCTCCTTCTCCTCCTCGCCCTCCCCCCCTCCTCCTCCTCCTCCTCCTCCTCCTCCTCCTCCTCCTCCTCCTCCTCCTCCTCCTCGTCCTCTCACCCTCCTTCCTCCTTTTCATGATCCTCCCCCTCCTCGCGTCTTCCCCGTTTCATACCTCTACGCGATCAGGCAAAGTTTCCAGGGACTCTCGTCTTCACCCTCCCTCCCCCCGTGTCCTCCTCCGCCTTCTCGCCATCGTCATCCTCCCTTTCCGTCCCCCTCGCCCTCCTTCTGCCCGTCCCCCCGAGACAGGAGATGGAGTTCCGGCTGGAGCGGCAGCGCGTGCGGACCCTCCTCGCGGAGACCCAGCAGGCTTTCCGCCCCGCCCTTCTTAGGCCTTTATGGGTCCCGAGCCTCGGTGATTCCGCGAGGACGAGGAGGAGGAGGAGGAGGAGGAGGAGGATGACGGGGTGGAGGAGGAGGAGGGGGAGGAGGCCGCCGCCCAAGGAGGAGGGCTCTTCCCTCCATAGTTGCTTTCCCTCCTTTCTTCTCCTCCTCCCTTTTCGTACGATCAACATATATATGTATATATATATATATATATATATATATATATATTCATAGAGCGAGAGAGGAGTAGACGTGTGTCTGGTAAGGTCGGGCGATGTCTGCGACACACGGCAGACCCGCGGGCCTCCCGGAGGCGGGGTGCCGAACAGGCGAGGAGGATATCATGGCCAGGGCCATGACATCTCCCCGGATTTCATGGTAATTCTTCTTCACCTCCTCCTCCTCCTCCTCCTCCTCCTCCTCCTCCTCCTCCTCCTCCTCCTCCTCCTCCCCCTTCTCCTCCTCCTCCTCCGCCTCGCGGCACCCCGCCGCCGCGCCGAGGGGCGGACCATCCCCGGGCCGCCACCGTCCCGCGCGCGCGCGCCAGGGGGCAGCGGCCTCCGAGAGCCGACGGTTGCCGAGGAGGATATCATGGCCGGGGCCATGACATCTCCCCGGATTTCATGGTAATTCTTCTTCTTCTTCTTTCAGCACGTCCCGTGTTATCCCTCGTCCCCGGCAGATGATCAATGCCTCTTCATTTGGCATGGCGCCAAGGACCGGGGTTTGTGTGCTGGCGGGGTGTGTCGGGGATTCGTCCTGGGGGCGCTCGCGGGCGCTTTGTGGGTGCCTCGTGCTCTGGGTGGGCGTCTCGTGCGCCACCTAGCTTGCACCACATGGCCTGTACCACAGAGCCTGCACCAGATCCATTGCACCACTTACGCTACAACCCTGCATCACAGAGCCTGCGCCACAGAGCTCGCGCCGCATAGCTTGCACTAGACAGCTTGAACCTCATAGCTTGCTTCGCGTTGCTTGTACCATATAGATTTCACAACACAGCTTGCACTACATAGCTTGCGCCAGATAGCTTGCACTACATAGCTTGCACAGCATAAAGGTTTACCACATAGCTCGTACGACCTAGCTAGCACCGCATGGTTTGCAACAACCTAGCTTGCTCATGCGGGGCGAGTGCAAGAACTCATTGCTTGGGGTCCTCGCTGGCAGGCATTCGTAACAGTGGATGTAGCCGTCCTGGTGCAGCAGAGTCTCAGGACCAGGCTGCGGTTGCAGCAGGTGTGGACGGCAGAGCCTTCTGGCAAGTGCAGCAATTCAGGAGGAGGAGGAGGAGGAAGAAGAGAATGAGGATGGGAGGAGAGGGGAGAAAAGAGAGAAACACAGAGAGGTAGACTAGGTGCGCTCACGCCACATCTGATATTATATCCCTCCCTCGTATCCCTTCCCACTGCGCAGGTTTATGTCTTTACCCGCGAACGCGTGTCATAGCCGACCTGGAACTGCAACATAACGAAATCGAAGAAGGGAAACTGCGTACTTACGAGAAGGAGGTGGCGGGTGACCAGAAGGATGAGCATGAGGACAAGGATGATGATGAAGGAGGAAGACGAGGACGAGCAGCAGCAGCAGCAGGGATTGGAGTGGAAGCAATGGGCTGAGCAGGAGGAGCAGGGGGAAGACGGAGTAGGCAAAATGAGGGGAGCAACAACGATGAAACAACGACTCGGATCCAGAAAAGTTGCCCAGTCTGGGAAGAGAGCGCCAATCTGAACGACGAGAGCAAAGCGCCGATCCGAAAATGAGGCCCAATCCGCTATTAAACATCCGAAGGGAAACCAATGGTTAAAATCTGGGAAAGTGCGCCAGTGGATCTCACTGAATACACTAAGGGGGGGGGTCCAGAACGCCCCCCCCCCCTTTTCCCCTTCAAGGGGAGGGGGTGTGGTCCGGAACCCCGCCCCCTTCTCCCCCCCTTAAGGAGAGGGGGGGGGTTCCCGACCCCCCTCCCCCTTCCCTCCCTTGAAGGGGGGGGGTGGGGTCCGGACCCCCCCCCCCTCGGACCCCCCCCCCTCCTCCTTCCATTGGCGCTGGAAAAGAGGGGGGGGGGGGGTCGGATCCCCCCTCCCCTCGTGTAGGGAGTACGGAGTTGGGAGTAGGGAGTGGTGAGTAGTGAGTAGTGAATCAGTGCGTAGTGAGTAGTGAGTAGTGGGTAGTGAGTAGTGGGTAGTGAGTGGCGAGTAGGGAGTAGGGAGTAGGGAGTGGGGAGTAGTGAGTAGTGAATAGTGAGTAGTGTGTACTGATAAGTGAGTAGTGAGTGGCGAGTAGTGAGTCGTGAGTAGTGAGTAGCGAGTAGCGAGTAGTGGTTACTGAGTAGGGAGTAGGGAGTAATGAGTAGTGGGTAGTGAGTAGTGGGTAGTGAGTAGTGGGTGGCGAGTAGTGATTAGTGAGTAGTGAGTAGTGGGTAGTGCGTAGTGCGTAGTGGGTAGTGGGTAGTGAGTACTGAGTAGTGAGTAGTGAGTAGAGAGTAGTGAGTAGTGAGTAGTGAGTAGTGAGTAGTGGATAGTGAGTAGTGAGTAATGAGTAGTGAGTAGGGTTTTTTTTTGCAACTTTGTTTGCAAAACCCGTGCGGCGGCGATTGCGATGAATGCTTGGAGTTGGCTGGTGCATCTCTGCGGCCGCGCTAGCCCGCGCATGCTCGCGCGCACAGCGGCCAGCTAGTTTGGCGCGACCGTCGCGGCCGCGGTGGCGCTGACCGCTTGGCACTCCCCAGCGGGCACTTCAGTGCGAGTTGGTGACTTGGGCGGGCGCGGTATCATGGCGACGCCGACAACGGTAGACACGATTATGGGGGTAGCGATTGTGACGAAGGTGGCGACGACGACGACGACGGCAAAGCCAATGACGGCGCCGATGCTGATCACGCCGACGACGACGACGGCGTCGTCGCGTCGGTGGTGAAGGTTTTGGAAGGAGTTCGGCATGCGAGCGCGGCCGACGCGCGAGAGCAGCCGCGCGGTATTTGAGGCGGGTCGTATCTCCCCGACGCGCACGAGGGCGTTCGAATGATTTCGGCATTCGGCGCGGAGGGCCCGGTTGGCATAATCAAGTGCGAATGTTGGAAAACCGTTGGTTTCCTAACGAATTATTCGCAAGAGCGCGAACGCGGGCTTTTCTTGAAAGCTAATGTTGCGAAACCATGCTTTCCATATGATGTTTGGACGTTCGGTTTTGAAATCCATGCGAGACCGGAAGTGTTGGCTGATTGCGGCATGCGCGCGCGACGACGCCGCGCGTGCATTTCGTCCAGGTTGTTTTGCAAAGGACTCTTGCGACAGCACGCTCGCAAGGGCGTTCGAACGATTTCGACATGTGCGCACCCGTGTGGTCGCATTCTATGAACATGTTGAGAACCCCCTGAGCGCCCGCGCGCAGTTTTTGTTAGAAAACGGATGTTGCGAAACCGTGTGTTTTTCCATGTATCTTAGACACTCGATTTTGACATCCTTACGACACCGAAGGTTTTTGAACGATTTCGACACACGCGCGCGCGAAACCCGCTTGGTCGCATTCTATGAAAACCGCGGTAACCTTCGTGTTTGGTGTGTATATGTACATTATATATGTACATTTGATATATATATATATATATATATATATATATATATATATATATATATATATATATATATATATGTATATGTATATGTATATGGGAAAACGCCTGCATGCTTTCTTTGAGAGTCAGTGTTTCGAAGCACTATATATGTTTTTGGACATTGAATTGAACATCCTTACGACACCGATGGTGATTGAAGGTTTTCGGCACGCGCGCGCGACGACGCGCGCGTGTGCACTTCGCCTCATATTTTGCAGTGGCTTCTCGAAAAAGTGATCATGTTTGATAAATACGTGCGCGCGCATGGAACTGTTTCCAGAGGTTGGCGGGGGGGGTGTCGATACTGGCCCCCTTGGGATGGTGCGAATCAAATTTAAGATGGACGAACGATGGGGCATAACCGTATGTCAATTGCAATACGACAGGGGAAGCGCATAATCCGAATGCGCGCCGCATGCGCGATTCTTTCTGTGCGGGGGTCATGGTGGTGCAATTCACATGTGGAACTCGCAATGGTCAACTCCACTGATCACGCTATCATCCCATGTGGCGACGATTGCGATGAGTGTTTGGTGTTGGCTGGTGCATATCCGCGGCCTCGCTACCCCGCGCATGCTCGCAGGCGCAGCGGCCAGCTAATTCGGCGCTGTCGGCGCGGCCGCGGTGGCGCTGACCCCTTCGCGCTTCCCACTGGGCACTTCAGTGCGAGTCGGCCACTTGGGCGGGCGCGGTATCATGGCAACGTCGACAACGGTATACACGATGATAGTAGCGACGCTGGCGACGATGCTAACAATAGCGACGGCACGGCCAGTGACGTTGCCAATGCTGATCACGCCGACGACGATGACGGCGTCCTCGCGTCGGTGATGAAAGCTTTAGGAGGAGTTCGACATGCGCGCGCGGCCGGCGCGCGACTGTCCCGCATAGTTTTTTCTTGTCACGGATCGTGCCCCCCCCAGCGCGCGTGCAAGAGAAATCGAATGATGTCGGAGTGCGGCGCGGAAAGCCCTGTTGGCATAATTTTGGTCAACATGTTGCAAGACCCACGGTTTTCTGGATAATTCGCAACAGCTCGAGCACAGGCATTTTTTGAAAACTGATGCTGCACAACCACGTATGCTTTATGTGTGTCGGGGCCGTCGGTTTTGAAGTCTTTACGGGGCCCTAGGTTTTAGAAAGATTTCGGCATGCGCGCGCGACGCCGCGCGCGTGTGCATTTCGTATCGTTGTTTGCAAGGGGATTCTTGCGACAGCAGGCGCGCAAAGGCATTCGAACGTTTTCGACACGCGCGCGAGAAGCCCATGTGGTATAATGTTATGAACAGATTAAAGCCCATGGTTCCCCCCAAAAATCGCAAGAGCGCGAGCGCAACTGTTGTTTGACATTTTCAGTTGCGAAACCATGTTGCATACGTGTTCGGAGCATCCGATTTTGAAATCCTTGAGGAACTTGGGTTTGTTGATGGATTCCGGCACGCGAGCGCGACGACCCGCCCGTGTGCACGTCGTCCTTTTCGTTGCACGGGATTTTGGAAATTGTTGATGGTTTTTGATGAACGATTGCGCGCGCATCGCATTTTCTGCAGAGGATGAGGGGGGGAACCGTTGCCCGTTTGGCTGGTTCACATTTCGGATGGGCGATGGGGCAAAATCGTATGTACATTGCATTCGAAAATGGGAACGCTTAGTTCCAAGGGAGGGGGGTCGATTCCAATATTTTGTTAGATAGGAAAATTCAACGGCGGCGACGAAGCTGCCACGAAGCGGCGACGGGGCGGCGACGGCGACAACGTAGCTGCCATACCGGCCACACGGCCCTGGCGACGGGCGGCGACGATGCGGCGATGGGGCGTCACCAGACCGGCCACACGGCCCAGACGACGGGCGGCGACGAGGCGGCGACGGGGCGGCGACGGCGACAACATAGCCGCCAGACCAGCCACGCGGCCCAGTTCTTTCTTAAATGAGAAGTGAAAGTCCCTAAGTGCAACCACTGCTTGTGGAATGTCTTGGGAGATCTGGGGTCGTGCTTCGCTTTCGGATCATGGCTCGGCTTTCTGGCGGCAGTGCGGGAAAATATGGGCACCCCAGGACGCCTCTCGGAGAGGCGCAGTTGCTGGAATGCATCAAAACCTGTCGCAAAAATGATGGCACATCCCCTCGCCCCCCCGGATCTAGACTGCGAGATTTTGCTGCCGAGTAATTATTTGTTAAACTGTCCCCCATGGAAAATATGCAAACGGGGACCGAATAATGCGAGTTATCAATACTTACATGTATGTTTGTATACCTACATGGGTATACACACGCGCGCAGGCGCATGCATTGGTATATGCGTATGAACTGTATGCGTGCTGACATGCAGGCTACTTTTGTCGACGAGTAGGCAGTTTTCGTCTTACTGGGACACTGTGCGCACGTACGCGCGAGACTGCGCGCGCGTGCGCGCGGTGGCGTCCAGTTTTCGCGCTCGGTAGTTGTAGGTGCCTAGTGGGCCCCGCGCCATCGCGCGCGCCTTCCGCGCGCGGTGTGCGCGCGCATTTTTCCAGTCCGGATCACGCGTCTGGCTTCCGCGTCCAATGTGGCCAATTCCGCGGGGCCGCCCGCGGGCGCGGCGGCTTCCGCAACCGAGGCGTTGCGGCCGTGCCTTTCGCGGACTGCGCGTTGTCCCACACTGATTGGGCCAGGGCCGCCGCGCACCTGGCGGCCTTGCCCCTCGCGCGTGGTATGCGTTCCCCACGAAAACTATAGCAAGGCCGCCGCGCGCGCCGCGGCGTTTTCTCGGCACCCGTGGGGGAGGGTGTGCATGGAATGGTTCCTGAACGCGGTCTCGATCCACTCCAGGTCGCAGGGCGTGTCAGGTGTAGCGCGTTCGTGACCCAGAGAGGGTGCGCAGCGGGTGGTCCCTGAGCGCAGTCTCTATCCATGCCAATTTCGCACGGCGTTGCAGGCGTGGCCTGACGCCAAGACGGTGTGCGCAGGATTCCGCCCTTGCACGCGGAGCGCCAGGGCGGTCGAGGGGACGTCCCTGGCGGTCTGGTTTGTCCCGCCTTCCCTTAGTTTCCGACTTTCGCACTGCAGTTCTGGGAATCGTTAAATAATCGATGCATAGATGTGTGTATGTTTGTGTGTATGTATGTATGTATGTATGTATGTATGTATGTATGTATGTATGAATGTATGTATGCATGTATGCATGTATGCATGTATGCATGAATGCATGTATGCATGTATGCGTGTATGTATATGTCTATGTATGTGTATATATATATATATATGTATATATAGAATGTCCCCCTTCATATCGATTGCTCAAGCCGTTTTAAACCACTAGCCGCCGAGAGCCGACGAAAACGTCCGAAAACCGTGGCGATCGAATCGGGTTCGGGGATGTGCGGGTCAGGACGGATCGCTGGGGCGGTGCCTTGATTTGTTCAATGCGGGATTCTGCATAATTTGTTGATGGCCCCGCGGCAGGAAATGCCACCCGAGGCCGAAAACGGCAAAAGCAACGCCCGTAGTGATCTTTGTCACGGCCGTGTTTAGGGCTGTTTGGAGAGTGTTTTTTCGTGCCCCGCGATAGCACAAGTTAGCGGGCCCACCTGCCCCCCGCCCTCCCCCCCGATAGCGTGACCTCGTCGGTTGCGCAGGCCCGAAGGGGTACGCAGTACAGGAGCTCGCGGGCGTACGTGGGGCTGCCCTGGGCGGATCGGTTCGGCCATCGCCTGGCACCTCCCTATCCCCCCCCAAAACAAAAAGAGACCCGGGGCGATCGCTTGGCATCGCTCGGACGTGTGCATGTTTCCCTCGGCGAGGACCATCGAGGAGCATCCTTGATCACTTGGCGAGAGAAAGCCGCGCACGGAACCGAAACAAACACAGGGTTATGGACGTCTGAGCGATGGCCAGATCGCCGAACGCAGAAAAAGAGCCCCCTGAGTCACGGCGGAAGCGCCCCCGCCCGCGGCCCTCCCTCCCCGCGGAGGCGGCGGCGGCCCTGCGGGCCCGCTCTGACCAGCTGGAGGCGGAGGCGGCGCGGGCCGCCCCCGGCCCGCAGCGCCTTGGGCGTCGCCCCGCCGCCGCGGATCGTGGAATACGATGTTGAGATTGGCGCTGCTTATATTTGGGGCCGCGGTTGGCCCCTGCTCCTGCTCCGCCCCGCGTCTCCCCGCGTGGTTGCGCGGGGCCCGCTTCGGCGTGCCCCGTGCCCGGCGCGGCCCGCCCGGGCGTTCACGAGTGGGGGGGCGATCGATGGCGGGTTCAGAAGCGGTCCCCTGTCGGGCCCCGCTTCGGGCCCCTTTAGGGCCCCCTTCGTGCAACCCTCGACGACCCCCCATGTATCGCCCCCCCATAACCGAACGCCCACGGCCCAGACGCGCCTGCGTTCGCCGGCGCTGTCGATGAAGACATGGTTACGCCAGTTGGCCCTTAAAAAATCGTTCTGGGGTCACCATCATGGGCTTGTTTTCCACCACCGCCACCACCATACGTTGGAGGGGGGAAGGAGGAGGAGGACGAGGAAGAGGAGGACGAAGAGGAGGAGGAGGAGGAGGAGGAGGAGGAGGAGGAGGACCCCTTCCCCTCCAGCTGATGGTGGTTGTGGTGGAAAACAGGCATCGCACCACGGTGCGCCGAAGGTTTGGTGAGCCCTCGTCGTGGCGCGGCGGAGATCTCTCCGGCGAGGCCCGCGCCCGCCCTCCCGGGCGCGGGTCGCAGACCACGCCCTCTGCAAGAGCCGCATCCTGCGGAGTCGCTGACCGTCGGTATCGTTTCACCGATCCGCTGGGTGCGTGACCGATCTCAGCCACTGTCAGCTGGCGACGCGTTTCGGACTCCAGGTCCTCTCCTGGGCCAAAACGGCTGCGGTGTCCCACGCGCGTGCCGTGCAGCGCGCGAGCAGGGCAGCAGGAGGTCAAGAGTGCGGGGGGTATCGTTCAACCGATCCCCATCCCCATGCCCATCCCCTTCGAGACCCCCACCAAATTACCACCCCAGTTGGGGATACCCCCCTCGAAATCCGAAGGGAACGACCTATATCCCCATCTAGGGGGGTAAATCGGCCAGCGGAGCCCAGGCCACGCCGCTGGGGATGGGGATCGGCTAAACGATACTCAGAACGGAGGGCCCACCTCGGCCCGACCGGTTTTCGGCTCGGTGTCACTTTCGGCCGGCAGGCCCCGAAGCAGGTCTCCAGATCGGGGGTTGTCGGGCGTGTTCGCTCGTTCCCGTGGGTGCTTTTGCCCTCGGGTGCGTTCCAGCAGCCGCTCCTCGCCGTTGGGTGCCCGAACCGTCCTGAGCGGTCGCCTGATGCCCGAGCTGTGGCCCGAAAACCATGGGGCGCACTTCAGGGTCTATCTCAGCCTGACCGATTTTCGGCCCGATGTCGGTTCAGGCCGGTCAGATCAGATCTCTCCAGATCTCCGACGATGTGTATTTTTGTAAGCGGATTTCCTCGATGTGGGCGTTTGGGACCCACTGCCAGGCCCTGGGATCATCAAAAGTGGGCCCAGGGCGAAAACTTGGCCCTGAGTGAGGGGTCAGACGTAGAGGGTCTGACGCTCCGACGCGTCCCCTTGCTTGCACGGCACTGCTGTGCATCCATGGCGCAGCCGGTTCTATCCGGTTCCGCCTTGATCCCGTGCGGCCCGGTTTGGCGCCCGTTCGGATCCGATCCTGATCCTTGTTTCTATCGGTTCGGTGTTTACCCCTCCTGCTTTCGCCGCCTGTGCCAGGCGTCGTCGCCGCGCCGCCGCCGCCTTTGAGTCCAGAGCCTGGTCCTCCATACACCCCGCCTAGCCTTCTCACACGCACAAGGGGATACTGATTGCGAGGGGGGGACATCTAAGTAGCCTGGGGGCTTCTCGGAAGACAATGGGTTTCTGAAAAGCCATCCTGGCTTCTCCGAAGCCTTACGAGAAGCCTCCAAAGCCTTCCAAGACGGCCCCCGCCGCCGATCAGAAGCACCCCACCTTCTGAGCAGGCCACCCCGCGTCACCGCCCTGCGCGCGCCGCTAACCTCCCTCCTTCGTTCAGCGGGCGATGAATGGTATAACATACGCTTTCCCGCCATCGGGGTCCCTGCCCCGAGGCAGCTGGAAGTTTGTATCCCCAAGGCGGCAAGTGTTGGCATAAACTGTCCAGCAGCCCTGTGACATGTGCCGCCGACGGCAGAGCAGCTTGTACTATGCCGTTCTTCACCCTCTAGGAGTCCAGAGTTTGCTCGTCCGTTGTTCTGCCGTGCTGACGGTGGATCGCCAGCGCATGATCCCAGTACAGGTCGTTGGCACTCACAGGCCGACTCCAATTGTCTTCGAACAAACCCCTCCCTCCCTCTTTGTGATCGTTTTCTTTTTTATTTTTCATTGTTTTGTCGATCGGCGCGGTCACTCGCACCCCCCCACTCCCCCATGGAGTAGGTCTTGGCTGTTTTTTGGCGCCTGTTTCAAGCATGTGGAGTAAGCGCGGGGGCCCCGCCTCCCCCCCCCGACGGACACGCGAATCTTCGTTTCGCGCAGTTGTGCATTGTGTTTTCGGGGCGGACCTCGGGAAATTAGGCTACCGAGAAAACCCACATAGTTTGCTTTAACTCTTGTTTTAGCTTCGCTGACGAGCAACGTATGTGGGTGCTGGTGCTAATCGCTGCCTCGTCGATACTGTCGGCAAACGTCTGCCACGCCAAGGGAGCCCATCACAGATGTCGGACGCACTCGTTGGCGGACCGACTCTGGCATTACCCAAGTGTCACTCCGCCACGCTTGCAACACTCGGGGCGATTGGCGCGGATAGCGGTAGTAACCCTTGCTTACCCCTCACGGTGTCGAAGAATTGCCACGCTTGCTGTGCCAAGCACGACTGGCACAGAATAGCGGGACCATCCCTTGCGCACCCCGTATGGTGTGGAGGCAATTGCCACGCCTCCTGTGTCCTGGACGACCAGCGCGTATAGCAGAACCACCCCCTGCGCACCCTCCATTGGTGTGGAGAAATTGCCACGCCTGCTGTGCCCTGGACGAAAGGCGCGTATAGCACCCCTCACCTCTTGCGCACACACTCTGGTGCCGAGAAAGTGCCACGCCTGCAATCTGTGGTGCAATCGAACATGTCGAGAAAGTGCCCCCACCTCCTGCGCAAGCACTCAGGTGTCGAATCCGCCTCAGCTGGTCGTTAATTCCGCCATTGGAGGACTTGTGCCTGCACGGCCCCTTCGCTCCAGCATTGGGAGCTCCCGACTAAAAGGACCCGCAGCGACAGCACAACTGGATCCTGCTTTTCGGGGAGCCGAGGCGGTCCAGGACGGCGCAGGCCAAGAAGGCGTGACCAATGGCACGAACAACTTGCAGAGAGAACCTCATCCAGTCCGCCCCCACGTCCGACCGACCTCTCCCGTCCCGTTGATCGTCAGCCAGAGCCTGGCTGTCAGCAGCCTCGCCACCTGGCGGCTGGACTGGGGTCGCACTGGCTGCATGTGGAGGCGGTCCTCGACCAGCCTGAAACCACATCGGACGCCACGCATCCAATAGTTGCCGGAGGGCGGCCTGGTCAGCCACTGGAAGAGCAGGATCCTAGCTGTCTCCTCTGGTGCAACTGATGACCTGCTGCTTCGAGAGGGCATGCGCTGCCTTGCCCCCTTCAGCAACGGATTTCTTGGCCCACTCGCTCCATTTGGCCAGCTGCGCAGCCGCGCCCCGCTTCTGGCGACGAGAGCATTTGGCTTCGACCGCGGAGAAGAAATTCCCATTCCAGGCTCCAGGACCCGCCGCTGCGGAGAGCAACGAACGCAACTGATCCTGATTCGGCCCCTCGGAGACAATCTCCAGGTCCAAAAACATGTTCCATAGCTTCAGCTTCCAGGTGCCCTATAGATGCCGACCCTTAGCTCCAAGAGACCCTTCGTTGATGGCTCTGGCTTCCCGAAACAAGGAGGCGAAGGCGATCCACCTGGTGGCCTGAGGCGAAAATCGGCGACGACGATCCCGCCCCAAGAGAGATGCCAGAGGAGCCTTGCGCGTCTGGGGTCCATCTGAGCGCCCAACGTACCCTCGGGGTTCTTCGATACCGTGTATCTCGACGAGCCGCTTTTCCGATTCGAAGACCTACTCTTTCGAAAGCCATTCGAGATCGTGATCTAAAGGGTCGCTCCATTGAACATCCCATTCAGCAGGCAACGGGCCCGTGACCGAGGTGCCGAACGGCGTGAAACGCACTTGCTGGTCCACGATAGCAGACCGGCTGAAGTTCCTCATCCGCAACAGCACTGGGCTATGGGGAAGAAGAGGTGCTTCTGAGATTACCTGAACATCTCGAACGCTCGAACTGATCGACGGCCAGTCAGTCAAGCCTGGCGCACAGACAGCGCATTGGAAAACCTATAAAGTTATGAATGCGACCGGAAACGCCAACAATAGCCCTGGACTCGGGCAGTTATGGCGATACGAATTCACCCTGCAAACGTGTCGGCGCCACGCGGGAGCAGGGGGAGGGGAGGGGAAGGGAGGGGGCGGAGGACGGCGAGAAGGAGAGGAGGGAAAGGAACAGCTAAAGAAAATGATCGTCACATTGGTTGCAAACGCATCCATACCATTGTTGCTTAGGCTTCCCTCGCCTCCGGCGCATATCCCAGCGCCGTGGCTCGTTGGAGTGCGGATCGCAAGTGAGCATTCGTGAAAAGTTGTGCTCTGGGAGGGCCGCAATTTTACCATACAGTGGCGTTTGCCTCTCACTCAGTGTGGCGCTCAGTGCCGCCTCGCCACTTCGTTCCAACACTGTTTTGTTCGAGATTTCGTGATAAAAAGGAAGATGGGATGGACAATATTTTCTGGAGACACCGTGCATGGAAGCCATCAAGTTTGCGTTTGTCTGCTTGATGTAGCCATATTGACTCCAGATTGCACCTCAGTTTTGGTACCACGATTGCTCTGTGGAGCTCGATCTTTCTACTTCGTGTGATATTCGCATGTGCCCAGCATTCGTGTAGAGATTTGAAGATGCCCTTTGCTTCACTAATTCTGCGTGATAGTTTGGTTTGGCTGGCATGTCTGTTGTCAACAGACCCCCAAGTATACAACTTTGTCAAAAATTGGTACTGGTGCCCCCGACGGGTCTGAGATCACCCCATGGTGATTTATGCCGCTAGCAACTGTTTTGCCCCAGTTGAGTTCCTGGCCGTAGCGTGCACCTTCTTTGATGACGAGGTCGAGTAAAGCTTGAAGTTTGTCCGTGTAGCTGCTGACGAGCATCGTATCACCGCGTACAACAGACAGGTCGGAGCACACCACATACGGCGGTTCTTCGACAGTGTCGCCTCTGTCACGCATCTTGCTGTCAATGTCGAAGAACATCACCGATTGTACAATGATGAACGAATAGGGAGAGAGCGGGCAGCCTTGAGCGATGCCTGCGCGCTGTCTTTGTCGAGTTGAATCCCCCACACCA